ACGCGGTGGCTGTGACTGGCTGGGACTAGGCCTGCTGGACTGACCTCTGGAAGCACCTCGTGCAGGAGGCGTGCTAGAAACTGGAGGTGCATAATAAGGCTCCTGAGGTGGAGCTGGAGCTGGAGTACTATCGGCTGCTGGAAGAGCTGAATGTATAGGGCAACCCGAATAACCTCTGCCATAACGACCTGCTGATGAGGTACGGGCACCAGAGTAGTGACCCGACTCTCGAGACCTCTTGGCCTCCCTCTCTCCTCGCTCCCTGGCGAGCATACCCTCAATCCTCCTAGCAATGCTCACTACCTGCTGATAAGGAATGTCCATCTCCAACTCTCGAGCCATACTAGACCTGATGGGCGGAATAAGGCCCTCAATGAACCTGCGAACTCTCTCTCGAAATGTAGCAACCAAAGCTGGTGCATGCCTGGCCAGCCTGGTATAACGGATGGCATACTCTGAAACTGTCATAGCACCCTGGCGCAAGTGCTCAAACTTTGCGCGCCATGAATCTCTGAGGCTCTGGGGAACAAACTCTCTCATAAACATGTCCGAGAACTGGGTCCAAGTCGGTGAAGCAGCCTCGACTGGACTATCTAACTCATAAGTGCGCCACCAATCAGAGGCGGCTCCCCGAAGCTGAAAAGCAGTGAAAGAGACCCCGTTGGACTCCACTATGCCCATAGTACGAAGAATGCGATGACACTCCTCCAAAAATCCCAAGGCATCATCTGATGCTAAGCCACTGAACACTGGGGGATCATACTTAAACCTCTCAAGCCTCCGCTGCTCGTCCTCTGAAGCAGCTGACCCATCCTCGGGCTGAACTGGTGCTGCAGGCGGTGGGGGAATAATCTCGGGAACCTGCTCAACCTGCACTCGCTGCTCAGGAGTGCGGACGGCGGGAGTCTGCGGTCCTCCCCCGGCCTGGGATGTGGCTGCAGTGAGGGGAAGCAACCCCGCCTGAGCCAAGGTGGTGTACATGCTCATGAATTGAGCCAAAGTCTCCTGGAGCGCTGGAGTAGTAGTGGCAGTAGTAGGTGTGCCAGGTGCCTGGGCTCCGGCTGGATCTGCTGGTGGTACCTCGGCGGCAGCTCGCGCAGGTGCTCTGGCTGCACCACATGCTCGTCCTCAGCCTCTCCCTCGGCCCCGGCCTCGGACGGCAGCAGTAGGGGGCGCGGGTGCCTGATCATCTCGAGTGGCACGTGTCCTCACCATCTGTGAGAGAATAGAAGTCAGAAGTTTAGAATTGATGTCAAAATAACGCACGACAAGGAATTCAAATGAAACGAAGATTTTTCCTAAACAGTTACATAGCCTCTCGTAGATAAGTACAGACGTCTCCGTACCGATCAGCGAGACTCTAATAAACCGGCCTGTGTTCCGTGACTCCTATGAACCTAGAGCTCTGATACCAACTTGTCACGACCCTAGTTCACCAACCGTGAACATGTCATGACGGCACCTGGTCTCCATGACCAGGTAAGCCTAACATTTGCGGAAAATATATTAATTGCGGAAAAATAGAGAAAATCAAATCAAATATCTAAAAGAAACTGTACTGAATGCCGCTTAGAAAGTACAACTCAATATCACAAGTCTAAAACAATTCCCAAAACCCGGAAACTCACGGGCAACACAGGCTACAGAAGTGTATAGTAAAGGTTCCAAACTCCAGAATTTCTAACAACCGAAAGAAGGAAAAACTAAGTACTAAAGATAGAATAAGAGGGAGACTCGTCAGTCTGCGAACGCAGCAGATCTACCTTGAAGTCTCCGTAGTCCTCCTGCCTCACTGATAGGGCGCCTGAGTAGAGGTACCTGGATGATCTGCACATGAAAAACATGCGCAGGAAGGGCATGAGTACACCACAGCGGTACTCAGTAAGTGCCAAGCCTAACCTCGGTTGGGTAGTGACGAGGTAGGTCAGGGCCATACTGAGACAAAATATAGTAACAACAATAACTAACAGTATGATAATCTGACAGAAATAATAAATACAGCAGTGATACAAGACAGATTAAGCAAGGCAATAGCATATACACAAGAACGGAACAACCACAGAATAAGTACAGCTCAACACCAATGGTAACAATGAGGATCTCCCAGGATACCGTCCTGTAGTCCTTTTCTCAACTGTCCAGTGGATCTCCCGGGGTACCGTCCGTAGTCCATCATATGTGTATATCCGAAGGATCTCCCGGGATACCGTCCCGTAGTCCAACTATCAATGTGCAGGGGGGATCTATCGGGAATCTAACCCGTAGTCCCAAAGTAAAAGTGCAGGGGGATCTACCGGGAATCGAACCCGTAGTCCCAAAGTAAAAAAACAAGGGGGGAGCTACCGGAATCCCACATCCGTAGTCCCAATGTAAATGCGCAATCACAACCAGAAGGTACACGGAAACGAAGTACAAAAAGACAAGCAACAAATAGTACTGACCTAGCATGCTTCACGTAGTACAGTTAAGGCAGCTTAAGCAATTAGGCAAGTTAAATCAACTAAACATGCTTTCCTAATCTAGCACAAGTTATAATTTCAAGTAGAATAAAGCAAATATGGAAGGAACTCAATCTCAATATCTTAAGAAAAACCGGGTTTTCCAACAATTGGCTCATGTACACGCCCGTCACCACGCGTAATGGGGGGTCGGGGCGTAAATTCCAAAAATGACCGGCCGGGTCGTTACAGACATGCACCCACTTTGGTCTCTACGGTTCGCGAGAAGGTTCGCCGGTTTATTGAGGGGCTTATTCCCAGCATCAGATCTAGCATGGCTCGTGAGTTAGAGATGGATATATCTTAGCAGCAGGTGGTGAGCATTGCTAGGAGGATTGAGGGTATGCATGTTAGGGACAGAGAGGAGAGGGAGGCCAAGAGGTCTCGAGAGTCGGGCCATTATTCTGGTGCCCGTACCCCAACTGCAGGTATTCATGGTAGGGGTCATATGAGTCGCCCTGTTCATTCAGCTCTTCTAGCAGCCAGTGGTATTCCAGCCCCACCTAGGCCTCAGAAGCCTTATTATGCACCTCCAGTATCTAGTGCGCCTCTTGCACGGGGTGCTTCCAGTGGTCAGTCTAGCAGACCTGGCCCGAGCCAGTCATAGCCGCCACGTCCTCCTAGAGCTTGTTTTGAGTGTGGTGACACGCACCATATGGTGAAGGATTGCCCCAGACTTAGGAGGGGTGCGCCTCCACAGACTCCTCAGCCACAGCATGCCCAGCAGAGTTCTCAGGCTACGATCCCAGCCCCAGTTGCCACCCCACCGGCCCAGCCAGCTAGAGGTGGAGGCCGGGGTGGTAGAGGTCGCCCTCGAGGGGGAGGCCAGGCCAGATACTATGCTCTCCCTACCCGTACTGAGGCTGTCGACTCCGATTCTGTCATCACAGGTACTATCTTGGTCTGTCACAGAGATGCATCGGTTCTATTTGATCCAGGCTCCACTTATTCTTATGTGTCTTCTTATTTTGCTCCACATTTGGGTGTATCTCCGGATTCTTTGAGTTCCCCAGTTTATGTTTCTACTCCTGTAGGAGACTCTCTTGTTGTAGACCGCGTTTATCGGTCGTGTTTGGTTGTTCTTAGTGGTTTTGAGACCAGAGCCGATTTATTATTGCTCAGCATGGTTGATTTTGATATTATCTTGGGCATGGACTGATTGTCGCCCCATTATGCTATTCTTGATTGTCACGCCAAAATCGTGACACTAGCCATGCCAGGTGTACCGCGTGTTGAGTGGAGGGGTGCTTTAGGTCACACTCCCAGTAGAGTTATTTCTTTCCTTAAGGCTCAGCGTATGGTTGAGAAACGTTGTGATGCGTATCTAGCTTATATGAGAGATGTCAGTATGGATACTCCTTCTGTTGATTCAGTCCCAGTAGTACGGAATTTTCCTGATGTGTTTCCAGCTGATCTTCCGGGTATGCTGCCCGATAGAGACATTGATTTTGGCATTGATCTGTTGCCGGGCACTCAGCCCATTTCTATCCCTCCGTACCGTATGGCTCCTCCTAAGTTGAAGGAGTTGAAGGAGCAGTTGCAGGAACTACTTGATAAGGGTTTCATTCGGCCCAGTGTATCACCATGGGGTGCTCCTGTCTTATTTGTGAAGAAGAAGGATGGTTCTATGCATATGTGTATTGATTATTGCTAGTTGAACAAGGTGACAGTGAAAAACCGTTATCCTTTGCCTCGTATTGATGACCAGTTTGATCAGCTACAGGGTGCTTGTGTGTTTTCTAAGATTGACTTGCATTCAGGCTATCATCAGTTGAAGATTCGGGAGCCAGATATCCCGAAGACTGCCTTCAGGACTCGGTATGGTCATAACGAGTTCCTTGTTATGTCATTTGGGCTGACTAATGCCCCAGCAGCCTTCATGCACCCGATGCACAGTATTTTCCGGCCATATCTTGATTCCTTCGTGATTGTTTTTATTGATGACATCCTGGTATACTCCTGGAGTCGGGAGGATCATGAGCAGCAACTGAGGACAATGCTCCAGACCTTGAGAGAAAAGAAATTGTATGCTAAGTTCTTGAAATGTGAGTTTTAGTTGGATTTCGTGGCGTTCTCACTACAACAAAAAGGGGCTTTAGCGGCAATAAAATAGGGCATTAGCGGCAATAGCAATTGTCGTTATACCATTTACCGGCCATTGATGTTTAGCCGCTGATATCAGGGTCGGCAAATCCTTTAGCGGCGTTTCTCACAAAAGCTGGTAAATGTCTGACTTATTGCCGCTAAATATCATTTTCTTTAACGGCAATTGTTTGCGACAATTATAATGGCTGCTAAATCCAATCTAGAAATGGCTACTACTGCTCTTTTTACGTCCATTTTTATAGCCGCTAAATTCAAAACATTTATCGCTAAAGGTCCATACCTTTAGCGGTAACTGTTTTGTGGCAATTAGAATGGCTATAATAGTAATTCTGAAAACGAATTAGTATGCCCTTTAGGCATCCATTTTAATGGCTGGTAAATTCTATTAAATTGCTGCTAAAAATCATCTTTAATAGCAATTATTATGGCTACAATATCCCATGTGGAAACATCATAATCTGCTCTTTTATCATCTATTTTTATAACCAGTATATTCTGTTAAATTGTCACTAAGTCACAAGCTATAACGACAATAGTTTAGCCACCATTAATAATAGCTACTACATTCATTCAAAAAATGATCCAAATAATAAAACATAATAATATTGATTCATAAAAACATAATGTATCTCATTAAATTTTAACAAACAAAAGGAAGTACTAATCCAAAATAGTAATATCACAATAACTTAAAAAATGAACTTATATTGCTTGAAGCAAATAGCTATTGCCATTATATAACTAATCCTAACAAATAATAGTCTTCAAATAATTTTTGCAATGCTTCATCATTTGGAAATCTTTCACCCGCTAAATTATCAATCATCAGACTATATGACCTGAAATTACAAAATAACTATGTCAATAGATGAAATATAGTAGTCTTCAACTGGGATGTTTATCGAGCAAACATTGCCCCAAGCTAAAGTTGTTTTACTGTAGAATGATAGTTTCATTTTTCTATAGTATAAGACATAACAAATCCGACTGAAACAAATCAAACTGCAATAATGTAAATAAAAAGTAAATCAGAGGAATTGCAAGATATCAAGCAAATCTGTAAGAAGCATAGAAGAGTCTTTTCTTTTGATGGCTTTATAAGCAGACCAAAGTCATTGAGATCCTAGTGTACATGGAGTATTCACGAGTAAAACAATGACAGCGGCAAAATCAAGTTGCAGCACGGATTGCTCTTACCCAGCCAATCAACCAAAATTACTGCAGGTGCTTGAAAAACCTACTTAGTGCAAGCAAGCATATTCCAAGGCAGACTGGAGGATCTCCTTACAATTTCATATTTCATATTAGACTTGCATTTAGCATGCGTAGAATGACATCAAGATGCCTAAGCCTGTGCTAAACAATTGCATATTTCTTTCATCAAAATCATATTGATTAAGTGAAACCAAGTCTCAAGAGCAGTGGGAACTATTATATCAAGTTGTGCAAAAGAGACTTCATTGTGAGAACATGATGGAATGGTCATATCAGATGCTACACAATATAATGGCTCATAATAGATCTGGAATGGCTAAATGATAACTTGAAACATAGGTCTAGTAATAACTATTCTTGTGTAATCTAGGAACCAATGGAGCTTTTAATCCAAGAACGAAAAACAGGAAAGAATCACTACTTTCAGCCCATGCTAAGCAACAAAAATTAATGTTGATAATCCACATGTTGTAGCTAAAGGATCAAATGTTTGTAAGATACTCCCATAACAGCTGGTTCTAGTGCTCATCTATGATTTTTGTCTAAGAAATAGTAGCAGGAACACCAGAATTGTCTAATCGAAGATCTTTATATGGAAGAAGATTTAATTGTTCCAGAAAATAAAGTTCATTTTTAAATAAACCAAGCATTAAAGTTAAAACTTGGTCTGTACTTTCTTAATCTTTTTTCTCTTTTTGATAAGTAAGGAATTTCTTTATTTATATAGAGCATCAATAATTGCAGGTTCTAACATCGGGCCAGAACTATTTCAACCACACTATATTGGTTCTCTCACCTTGAGAAGGTTCTCCGCATAAATGAATCGACATGAAGCTGGAAGAGACAACTGAAATGAACAAAATTAAAGTAACTGCTCGATAAGGCAAACATACCCAAGATCAAGTCATTATCAACAATTAAATTTATTGTGTATCCAAACAGAGTTTCAGTAAGGTATACCTCCCTCCGGAACTTTGAGACTGATGGTAGGCTCTTTAACTGCTTAAGGGACAAAAAACCAGGAGCAAGAAAGAATTGAGGGCACGGGTAGTTAAGTTTTGCAGCAACTCTTGAACTGGACTTCAGAATTGGAATCTAAATATTCTTCCTGCAAATGGCACACGAATAATCAACATATACCATATAAACAGGAAAACATAAATTTATTGGACGAAGCAAGATATGCATTTGAAAAGAAGAGAATATTATAAGGTTAGTTACGGCTCATGTCCTGCCATTATGTGCTGGGCTTCACCAAATTTGGTCGTCCATTGCTCATATGCAGTTATATTTGTTACATATGCAGGGCTAAGGTGTATCAAACAATTTACTTTTTTGCACATGTCAATGGGTTGTTCAGATGTATTCAAGTAATATGGAATAAGAGACTCTAAAGATGACAATTCTTGCAGATGAGAAAGTGTCGGGCAGTCAACAAGGAGCACAATAGGACCGGGAATAGAAGGCTCCACAACTTGACAAGGATGAACCTGTACAACATTACCCTACAAACGAAGCACGGAGAATCTAATTAGATAGACAATAAAGCCCAATGTAAGCTTTCAAAAGAATCCTTCCAACTTACGGTGTTGTCTAGGTTATCTGACTGCACTGGATTACCACATTGCATTTGAGCATATTTTGGCCCAGGTTCCACCCCAAATTTAGCAGCCTTAACTGGATCGAACTTCCCTTTGATCTCTGGAAACTCACAAATATAAACCACTGAAAGCTCACCAGGGTTTAACACAACTTCCTTCACCGAGTCACACACTTTCGAGCAACATGGTCGTAAGAGAACAACAAATATATTGACAACGGTATAAACAATTGGAACATAAAGATAATCGAACTTCACTGAAGAAGCACTAGAAGCTTCATCAGATCCTTGCATTGAGAGAACACTATGCGTATGAACCATGGCAGCATTTGGGACGAAAGATTTCATTGCTTCAACCAACTGATCGAGATTCGGGGGACCCCATAAATTAAACTACAAGCAAATACTGAACTGGTATCAAATTTTCAAACACCACTTATAGTTTAAGAAATTTTGTGATGAATATATAACTAGTAAAATAAGCTAATGTGACACTCACAGACATCCCTTCTTTCCCCATTCCAGCCAAAGTCAATAAGAGACATGCAAGTAAAATGATTGAACTTCTTTGGTGGTTCTTAATCAACTGCAATAAATAAGCCAGAATCTTCTCAAGGGTTGATTTGATCCAGGCACTCAAAAAGTTCACAAATTTCATATTGTTCTCAATAATAACCAACCTGGGAGTCCACCAGCAGTTTCTGAGCAGACAAGTGATAGAAGTATGTCATCAATCTGGGGAAAAACTTTTATGGATATTTCCCTAGATCAACGACACGGTAACATACACTATAGACTAGGTTTAGAACAGTAAGATTTTGTATCTAAATACCTTTGACAATGTAAGTTTATTCTCTATGAAGAAGCGTTGCAATCCCAGGGAGCAGAACATAAAAACGTGCTGAGAAATAAGTTTAAATATATATTTTTCATGTTTTCCAATTTATCCTCATAAATCCTTTTTTGACAAAGGAAACAAGAACCAACAAAGAGCAAGAAGGACAAAGGTGAAAAGCAGTCTGTAGAATATTTCTATGAAGAGGAAACCTACTAGAACAATAATAAAGACATTATTGAATCATCATGCGTCCTACCTCATCTACTTAACGTTTATTCTGGAAAATCGACATTAGGTAGATTAAACGATCAATAAACTATGCCTCAACTTGAAATGGATAACGACTTGAAAAGGAACAGTGGTATGTAACAAAAAATGCAAACAAGGTATGTCCTTTTTTACAGAATATTAGTCGATCTATTTCACAAAAGCAATCGAGACAATGGCCTAAATACTCAATTAAATAGACATGGGATGTACTGCCAAACTAACAAATGGAATCACAATAGAGGAAAGCTGCCAAACTAACAAATGGAATCACAATAGAGCAAAGCTATCCTTTTAGTATCAGCAGGAACAATTAGACACTTGGGGATCGCCTATTTTGTTGTATAAGAAAACTAATCATAGTTAAGCACTGCATAATTAATAATACAATGTTTAGTTTCCGATAAAAAAATTTGCATTACTAATATAACCAGTAGGTTACCGTAATAAAATTCTGCATAACTAATACAGATGTAACTTGTATGAGAACTTATGAATTATTTTATACAAGGCAGAATGTGGAATAAGAAAATGTATTTTAGCAATAACAGGATTAAGCTAATTCTTGACTTGGTTATCTCAATCTTCAACTACAAATTCACTCATTATTATTTATCGCAGAGAAGGGGAGACTTGGCGTAACTAGTAAAGTTGCTGCCATGTGACCAGGAGGTCACGGGTTCGAGCCGTGGAAACAGACTCTTGCAGAAATATAGGGTAAGACTGCGTACGATAGACCCTTGTGGTCCAGCCCTTCCCCGGACCTCACACATAGCGGGAGCTTAGTGCATCGGGCTGCCCTTTATTATTCATCGTAGAACAATTCACTATATTACTGTTGCATAACTAGTCCGTAAAGCAGCGCGATATGATGGTGTTGCTGAAGGGATTAAGGATGATCAGAGTGAGAGGAAGGCAGCTGGAAAAACTCCTATGGCTAAAGGTGTTGGACATGTACTTGATACATCAAAGAAAATAGCTACAAATCCAAGGACTAGACATGTTTGTGATGCTTCAGGCAAATCTGTTACAGCTAAAGATCATGTGGTTGCTGGTGTTACTACAGGTTCTGTTGCTGGACAAAAATCTACAAAAGTTGGGCATCAAAATCTTATGGGACAGGTGCAACAGCAAATTGGGACAGCTGGTGATCGAGCTCCTACACCTGTGATACCAACTACACGACAACAACATGCTACTTCCCAGGTTGAGAAACCAGATGGTACGACAACTACTAATTTATGTGCACAAAATAATGCAGCTACTACTGCTGAAGTTGGTGGGCAAACTGAGGACGAATGGACAGTAGTGATGAGGTCTCCTACTAAGCGAAATGCTGCTCCAGGTGTGAAGAATCAGCAGCAGCATATGAAGATTCCAACTGCTCGACAAACCGCGATAAAGGTTGTCACAAGTCCAAATAGTTTTGAAGCACTAGCAGAAGAGGTGAACGTTGGTGTTAACTCTCTAACAATCCAGGATACTAGATTTATGCAGCAAATTACACCATGTATTAGCAGTAGCAAATAGGATCAGTCAAGTGAAAATCTTTCTAAGAAGTTGGGTTTTTGACGAATTGCCTCGGAGAATAATTTGGTTGAGAACGTGGGGGATGATCAAGTAGTGCGACACAACACTCCTAGATTGCATTTTTCCAGCCCAGAAGTTGAAAGAATTATCAAAGAAACTCAGATTTCCATGATGATGAATTCTAATCCTACGATCAACCAACATGTTCTGTATATACTCGTTTATCTCATTCTTCTATTCTATCTATTCTCAGTTATTCGATGCTACTATTTTTTTTTCAGATTTCACTTTGAATAGATATTTTTAGTGTATAAATATAAGTAAAAGATTATTCTGATCCTCTCAGACCTTCACGCGAACAAACTAACCAGTTGCAAAATATTTTGCGAACTTTTTAGCCGCTAAAACTCCTCTTTGTAATAAGGTAAAAATCAGTAATAAGCCTAATAATGCACTAAATCACCAACTAACAATAGAGTGTGTATATATATATATATATATATATATATATATATATATATATATATATATCATACTCGGGCAAAAAAAGTTTGAACATGGTTGAATTCATATCTTGACTACGGATATTCAACTAATACATCAATATGCATCAACGACACTTAGAAAATTTCTGAAAAATCACAAAAATAACAGTAGTCTTAGAAAATAGAGGAACCAATTCAAAAACGATAGAGTAACAGAGGAGGAATCAGTCAATCAATCGACTACCAATCCAACAATAGCTAGATATCACAAACGACTTAGTAAACACAGAAAAGGCTATACTTTCACCAATCCCAAAAGGCCATAGTTGGATGTCAAAATCAAATATTGGTACCTAGTAAGTATATTTTTTTGCCGATTAAGACAAGAAATTGAAGGAGACGAACGCTTTCTGCAATAACTCTTGAAACCTGCACGAAAACAGAAGTTGAAGACGAATGAGAGGGAGAAGATTGACAGCGAAGATTGAGAATAATCGAGCAGCATCAACCAAAGTTATATGTAACTCGATTAAGAACGACCTAGGATGGTCGGAGACCGTGGCAGGACGGAGGCTTTTGCAGCGATACTGTTAACGCGTAGGTTTTCCTAGCGTCGTTCTTCTGTATTGTTTTCTAGCGTTGTTCTTCGTTCTAATTACAGAGTTTTTCCTATTGTTTTCCTAATTGGAGGTTTTTCTAATGGGAGGGAATGTAATTTCTTGTGCCCAAAAAAATGGAGGGAAAGATTTTACTTTCTTTGTACGGAGGGAAAGTTAAAATAATAAAAAATTTAATTCAATTAGTGACTTTTAGTGACAATTTTTTTTATTGTCGTTAAAAGGATATCTTTTACTGGCTAATAGTCTTTTGCCGCTAATATTTCAGCTTAAATAATTCATTAACGATAATTACCTTATTGCCGCCAAAGGCATTTTGTAGTAGTGTCTTGGGTCACGTGGTCTCGAGAGAGGGTATTCAGGTGGATCCGAAGAAAGTAGAGGCCGTGCAGAGTTGGCCCAGACCATCCTCAGCTACAGAGATCCGCAGTTTCCTTGGCTTGGCGGGTTATTACCGTCGATTTGTTCAGGGGTTTTCATCTATTGCAGCACCTATGACCAGACTGACCTAGAAGGGTGCTCCGTTCCAGTGGATGAAAGAGTGCGAGGAGAGCTTTCAGAAGCTCAAGACAACTTTGACTACAGCCCCAGTTTTAATATTGCCTACCGATTCGGGGTCTTATACTGTCTATTGTGATGCCTCGAGAGTTGGCATTGGAGCGGTATTGATGCAGGACGATAGGGTGATTGCCTACACATCCAGACAGTTGAAGATACATGAGAAGAATTATCATGTCCATGATCTTGAGTTAGCTGCCATTGTTCACGCCTTGAAGATCTGGCGCCATTATTTGTACGGCGTGCCTTGTGAGATATATACTGATCACCGGAGTTTGCAGCATTTGTTCAAGCAGAAGGACCTTAATTTGCGTCAGAGGAGATGGCTAGAGTTACTGAAGGATTGTCGCGCCCCCCCTTTTTCTCGCGAAATCGGGTTTATGACATTTGGTTGGACAACTCGTTCCTTTTGGGAACTGGGTTTTGCATGAAGAGTCGCCACCTAATGATCAGGGTGCATTAGGACACCAAAAGAGTTTGATTTGGATAACCAGAGATAGGGTAAGGGCTTGAAATTATTCTAAGGGGAAGGTGTTAGGCACCCCTCAGAATCCACTAGTGTGGTTCCCGGCCAGACAATTATTGTGAATTTAGGTGCAAATAACATGTAGACAAATAAAGCTTCAAATAAGAGGGGATTTTCACCTAATGGTTTACAAATAAACAATGTTGGAAAGAACAATTAGAAAAGCTGATTTTAAAAGAAAGAGTTGAAATTGCTAAAAGAAGTAAAGAAATAGAGGGAGGGGGTCCTAGGTTTATTAAAAATATGGATCACCCCACACAATGTCCGGTAATCACTCCTCAATGAGGGGCTACACGTGACATTATCACATGGTCATCATATCCATATCTACCCTTCCCACCCCGTCAAGGTATTAAAGCGCGGAATTGTCTCGATTACTTGTTGCATGCTATTACTCGTCCCAATCCTATCAGTCCCGGAGGCACATAGGACTACTAATCCTAAAAGGGGAGGAATATTGGGCTTATTTGAGGTTTCAAAAGGTCAAAAATCTAAGGCGACATACAAAACACACATTGCACATTTTAGGGGGGGAGGGGGAGCATGTAAACAAATAGAGGCTCAATCACACCTCCTTGAACAGAAAAGCACGTAATTAGCATGACTTTCACATACTGGTTAAGGTCTGATTAAATACCAAATATGAGAGAACTTAAAGGTTGAGGCAGACTGATTTATTACATAATTCAGATAAGAAGCTCGAATCAGGCCTGCCTGCTGGTTGTAATTAATAGAACAGATTCAGTTTATAGTTATTACCCTATGGCTTGCCTAAGTGTTAAGACGGGGTCCTATAGGCATGATATCTACTGAATTCAGAAAATAGTAAGGCTTGAAATAAATTGTTTGAATGCATACTTGTTAAACTTGCTAAGTGAGGGAATCAGATTATTAAAAGAGAGGCAGGATT